ATAAATACAACTGTGTATCATCCGCATAACAATGGAAATTTATAGAGTGATTTCTAATGATGTTACCTAAAGGAAGCATATATAGAGTAAATAGGATTGGTCCGAGCACAGAACCTTGCGGAACTCCAAAACAAACTTTGGTACGTAAGGATGATTCATTACGAACGTCAACAAATTGAAAACGATCAGATAAATAAGATTTAAACCAGCTTAGTGCTGAACCTTTTAGGCCAATTAAGTGATCCAGTCTCTGCAGTAGAATTTGATGGTCACTTGTGTCAAACGCCGCACTAAGATCTAATAAAACAAGAACAGAGACGAGTCCTTTGTCTGAAGCAATCAGAAGGTCATTTGTAATTTTAACTAGAGCTGTCTCAGTGCTATGATGCACTCTAAATCCTGACTGAAATTCCTCAAATAAAAAATATGCAAGCATTAGTGCTCCCTATTTCTACACACAAGTACTAAGCCAACTATTAAAGCAACAGTATGCAACTTTGGCTGCGACACGAAAACTGAAACTTAACCATGCACGTTTATGCGTCACACAAAACAGCAATTTTAGTAAAACCGGGTCATATTTTATGGAGAAAATGTCCTCTGGTTTCCCCTCTGATGTCCTAGACAGGACTTTTACAGTAACATGTGACTCTGTGATGTCACAGGCCTATAGAAGATCTGCTCCCTTCCAACAAGCCTTCTCTCTCTTGCTCTGGAGCTACAACAGCTCACATCTCTTGCTCCAATTGCGGAGCAGCTCACACCTCTTTCCAGCTGGGCCTGGAACAGCCCAGAGGCCCAGACCCTTGCTTCTTACCCTGAACCATCAAAGGTGGGGCAATTGATCACAGACTCTCTAACCTGAACCAGAAAGTTAGAGGTGCAAGCACAAGGTTTGCAACTAGCTTTCCAGCAACAAGGAACTAAGTGAGTTAGCACCCAGCGTCTAACTCTGCTAAACCCTGAGTGACCAGCTTCCTTGGAGTTTCACCTTTGGAACAAAGGACCCAACAAAGACTGCAGCTGGAACCACCTTCCCAGCCTTCTTCTGCCAGCTAACAAAGCAGCACACTACCAAGTGACTCTTTCAGTCAGTAATGTAACAACTGGGCATAGTTTATCACAGCTTTACAGGCTAAGCAAGACTGTTTAAATTGTTGTATGTGATTTAATGCTGTCATTGAGTTATTGTTGTGATAGTTTGCAGTTACGTCATTGATTAGTTGGCTTCACCAAAGCTAAGTGTTTAGTTTGCTAATACTGTTCACAAACAGATTCTTGCACACAAACAATCTCTGCACTAATCCAGACCATTTGCAACACAGATCACATTCACATAGACTCATTAACAAATAGGCTTTCAACAGAGCTACACCCAAACAGGCATCTCAAAGTTCCTGCTTCTTTTCCTTTGTCCTGACCACACGGTCAGACAAACACCTCCCCCGACCTGAAGCCATCTTTGATTCGGCCATTTGTAGTCCTGTTGTCAGCCATTTTGTTTTGTAGACCAAACGGCTCTTTGATCACCACACCCGCCTATCTCTCTTCTTTCACACACACACACACACACACACACACACATACACCTTTTATATAGTTAGAAAGAATTCTTTGGAATCATACCTGCTGTCTGTTTAATGTTGCACAGGAGTGAATGAATAGTCAACCTGTGCTGCGTCAAGAACTCCAAAATCCTTCAGGCATTACTGTTCATTTTGGTTGTTGTCATTAATTTAATTATTAATCAAAACTCCAAATTAATAGTTTAGCGTATTTTATGAGACTGATATCTTTAACTGGCTATTATTTTTCCCTTTATGGGAATGGTGCCCCACGAGGTGATTTAATGTTAAAGGCGTTGTATGTAAGAATGTGGCCAAAACGGTTACTGCACTCAAATTCAAAATACTGCCGCGAGTCGTGTCTGCCCCCCCCCCTCCCCTACAGATTCGAGGTTGCTGGACACCAGCACGCTGTAGACTGATTTGTTTGCCCATGGGCGGCTGCCGTGGCAGGGCCACGTCCTTGATCTTCGGTTTTCCAGCGGCCCGTTCGAGCAAGTCCGGCTTCTCTGCTGCTAACGCTGCTGCCGGGATACAGCTGAGGAGGAGTCGGCTGCTAATGCTATATACCGGGACACTGCTAATGCTGCTTGCCGTGCTGCTGTAGCTCAGTAGTAACTGTAATTGATGCTGAGACTCTACTGACTGCGTGACTGATAGACAGCGGTGGGTGGCGCAACAGGCCAAAACACAAATTCAAAACATAAACATGATTTGCGGACTGTAAAATTTTTTTTTAAATGCGAATATTCTGGCTGTACTATTGTTGTCGGTGAGATCAGTATGTTATATGAACATTATTCCTTAGTCTCTGTGACATATTATATTTTATGACTATTTGCTTTAGATTTCTTACATATAGCTCCTTTAATTAAGTCACATCATTTAGCATAATTATTAATTATTAATAATTATTAATTATTTCCGATAGCCAGTTAAATCCCTACATATTGGGTGCCGCCGTGTGAGGTAAAAATATGTTGACCCTAACATATTTGGTGCCTCCGTGTGAAGCCCGAATTTAAATCCTAACAATAGTTTAGTTTTTTGAAGCCACGGGTCGTGGTCAAAGTTACAGTGTTGCTTTAACAAGCACTACATATATGAATAAAATATGTGTCTTCACATACAATAATTGTGATGTCACGACCCAGTGATGTAGGGGAATAAGAATGGTGCCCAGCCTCAAACCAAGGTGAAGCCTGAATCTGTGGATGTCTTCTGTTTGTCTTTTAGTGCTAGAAGTAGCAACAGAGACAGAGGAAGGATGAGGAATCTCCGGCAAAGACATGGGCTCTAAAATCACACACAAGTGACTTCCACATGTCTGAGAGAGCACCACACCTGCTCCCAGTACAATGTTTAAGTTGAAAAAAAAAATTTGAAAAACTTTCTCTGTGTGAAACACTCACTGCAGGGAAGTTACTTCTTGCTGCTGAAGAAAGACAGGATGAGAGTCTGCTTCTACACATTCGTGACAGGGACCTAGTGGCTAGTGAGGCACGATACCACTTCTCCTGTTTCAGAGACTACACACGGTACCTGTCAAAAAAGAAAAGTGAGAACACAGAAAGCAACTTGTATGAGAATGGGTACAAGCATTTCTGTAAAAGAGTGATCGAGGAGAAGCTTGTAAAAAAACGGGAGGTGCTTCGACTCTCAAAGCTGAATATGCTTTTTAAGAATGTTGTTCTGGAAAGGGAGGGAGTTAACATTCCAACATACAAGGCTCACTTACTCAAGGCAAGACTTCAAAAGTCACATCCTTTCTTGAGATTTCAAAAGGCATCTACAACATATCTTGTGTATGTTGATGATCTGACAGCTGAGGAGATCATTCATGAAGTTGCCACTTCCTCCTCTTCCTCCTCATCTGAAGACAGTGAAGGAGAAACATCACTGATGACTCAAAGACAGCCTGATAATGCCACCATCACGACAGATAGGTCTCGTCTTTTATATCATGCAGCGGTCACCCTGAGGGACATCATCTGTAAGACATCAAAAACATCACCAAAGCTCCCATGGCCTCCAAGAGCAACTGACCTTACACTGAATAATGCCCTGGACTTCGTACCTCACCAACTTTTTAACTTTGTTGCATGGACATCTGGCATTTCAACACAACCATCAGACAATGAACGTGTTGAGGTTACTTTAGAGGACAGCAGAAAGATAGTGTCAACTTGTCAGGATCTCATTACCTTGGCGACCAAAGGACGGTGGCTCATGCCAAAACAGTGCTCTCTTGCAATGGCAGTTCGGCATATGACAGGCTCAGCACAGCTCATAGGGTTGTTGAATGGTCTTGGCCACTGCTCATCTAACTCCCAGGTTCTTGAGCATGATACAGCCCTTGCTCACCTACAAGTGGAGAGAGGAGATATATACATCTCAGAAAACATCAGGGTTGAATTACCTGCCACACTTGTCTGGGATAATAATGACTTTGGAGAGGAGACACTTTCAGGTAAAGGAACAATGCACAACACCAATGGAATAATTATTCAGCAGACCATGGCTAGTGAGTCAGCATCTTTACCCTCCACATCATCCAGACAAAGAACAAGATCGCGGTCTGTTCATCCTCCTCCACTAAAACTTTCAGCCTACACAAGAGGAAGGAGGTCCGGTCCACAGAATGTAGTGCTCATGATAGATCTCCAGCAGGACAAATACAGAGATGCCCAAACCACTGGAAGGAGAACTGATGCTGCATTCTTCCTAATGAAAGTACAGGAGGCTGAGGTGAAAGTCATTCCTGGATGGACAGGACAGGACACATAATGTTAAAGCAGGACACAATCCTCTACAAATGTAGGCTGCCTACCTGTCATCGATGCTAGCCCAACAGATCAACACTGTCCACACCATCCTGAGCCACTCCACTGCTATTGCTGACAAGAAATAGTGATAGTTATGGATCAAGCCATATATGCTAAGGCCCAAGAGATACGTTGGCAGACAAGCACTTTCTCAGAGAGACTTGTAATAAGGATGGGAGAGTTTCACACAGCTATGGCATATCTTTCCTGTATTGGGAAGCTTTTTGCTGATGCAGGCTTACAGGATGTCTTGATTGAATCTGAAGTTGTGGCTGCAGGTTCTATTGATGGAGTTATCTCAGGCCATCACTACAACAGGAGCATACGGGCACACAAGCTCCTGATTGAAGCACTGCAGAGATTGCGCTGGCAGGCATACCTGGGCACTCTCACACAAGAGGACCATGCACCAGCTTTAAAAGTTACAACGGATTTGCAAAAGACCTTTCCAAGTGAAGAGTTCAATGCCATGCTTACGTCTGCGTTTGCTGAAAAGCTACAAAGTTTTTGTGGAAAAAAACAACTCCAACTAGACCTTCACATTTTGGAGCACATACATTGAAATGGTGGAAAACTTGCTTCTCTTCATCAGGGCAACCCGAGAGGGAAACTGGGCTCTCCATTTGTCAACTGTGCAGTGTATGCTGCCATGGTTTTTTGCATGTGATAAAGTCAATTATGCCAGATATCTCACAGCATATTGGGATGAAATGACCAATCTGGAAGACACACATCCTTCAGCACACCAGCAGCTTCTTTCAGGTGACTTTGTGGCACAAAGGCATCAAAAACATGGTTTTGCCGGCACTGCATGTGATCAAGTCATTGAACAAACAGCCAATTGCGATTCAAAGACAAAGGGAGGCATCAGTGGGTTCTCTCTAAACAAGGGTGCAGTTCACAGATGGACCTTAACACAACATGAGTGGGCAGCCATCACACTTGAATGTAAATCAGTGGCTGGACAGTGCCCAGTATTGCATCTGAATGGACAGTCTCTTTATCAAATCTCCTCTGGTCAACAGGCATCCAATAGTGTTGCTGAAGACTTACTGGGGGCAAAACAAAGTGGTGTTAAGGCTCTCACAGTCTTCTGTGAAAAAAGGATTGTCAAGACAGAGGCATCATTCCACGACCCGATCAAGAAAATGAAAATCAAAACATTCAAAGACACTGGCCACAGTACAGTCACAAAAGTTAGAGGAAAAGAAATCACTTTGACATCTCACCGCAACTTGTTTGCCAGGTTAATTGTTGTGGGCAATGTTAGACAAATTAACATAGATGAAATACTCACTTACAGTCTGGGTCCTTTGCCACAGTTACTGGCCAACTTTGATGGCTCTCTGGTAAAAACCAACAAAGCCAAGCTGATGCACATCTTGGAGGACATCAGACCACCTGCATCAGAGAAGAACATTCCAGATGGTTCAGTTTGGATTTGGGATGCTATGGCACTAGTGCAGGGGTAGGCAACCTGTGGCTCCAGCGCCACATGTAGCTCTTTAGCCCCTGTCCAGTGGCTCCTTGAGCCTTTGAGAAAAGAAGTCTATGGGAATTCATTCTATGAATCCAAATGTTGCTGAACCTCGATAGCAGTGGCTGGTTAGCTATGGATGCCAAATCCAAAAAAGTAAATTGAATAAAATAGAGAATGTAGTAGTGCGTGGACAAATTTGTTTGCTCTCACTGCCAGCTCTGCAAAATTTAAGTACCATATAATTATTAATAGTGCCCTGCACAGTGTCCACCTTGTGGTAAAACATATTAATTAATGCTTATTTAGACCATAAGTATACTCTAATTTAGACTTAATAGGCTATTTACCTTGATTATAAGGCTCAAACATGTTTTGCGGCTCCACACAGATTTTTTCAAATTATTTTTGGTAAAAAATAGCTCTTTTAATGGCAAAGGTTGCAGACCCCTGCACTAGTGCAACAGCTACTGCTGACCATGTACTGAGGACATTAGTTAACTCAGCTAAAGGAACCAAGTCCACGGAGCTTCATCTTGTATGCATCACATACAGAATCCCAAGCATCAAAAATGCTGAGCGAAGTAGGAGGGCAGAAGAGGGTTGTCAAAAAATCTAAATATATGGAGATGACCAAAAAACACCAAAGCAGTGGAGAAAATTCCTGGCATGTGGGCAAAATAAAGAAAACTTGCTGGAGTACTTCTTCCAACACTGGAGCACATCTGCAAAAAACATAATTGAAAATGTAAGAAACATTGTTGGGCATGGAGAAAAATATCACTCAATTAAAATGAATGAAAACTACACTGACCTTGAAGTAACGGAGGTTTGAGACCTTGAGACAACTCAAGAGGAAGCAGACACCAGACTTATGCTGCATGCAGTTTGTACAGCAAAATGCAGCACTGACCTGGTGATCAAGAGCCCAGACACTCTTTATGTTGGCACTTGCATTCTGCAGCCACATTGATGGTCACCTGTACTTCCACACAGCCAAAGAGAGAAACCCACACATTGTTGACGTTAACAGCCTTCATGCCCATCTGTGCAATCGGGCAATCTGCAATATAATTACGCACCTAACACTTTAACACTTCAGCACTCTGCACTTTAATCAGCCCTTTGATATCTAATTTTAGCATTTAACACTAGTGAAATACGTATGGTCCCCTGACCCTTGGCCTGTATGTTTCATGATCCACTATACTGTTTCATTGTTCTTGCTTCTCTTTTTTATTTTCTGTCCTATTGTGTTTTCAAGGACACGTTTTCTCTCTCTGTAATTACTCCTCCTGCTCATACTGGCCATGATGGCTAACTGTTCTACTTGTTGTTACTGTTGTTTTATTGATTTTATTATCTTATGTTGTTGACATCAACCTGCAGAAGGGACTAAAGATGGAAATTAGCCGTCGGCTATAATCTTGCATATTTACATGTATATGTTCATTAATATGTATTGTCCCTGTTTTAAATAAATAAACTCAAACTCAAACTCAAACTCAAAGACAAATGTGAAGCCCTTGTTGGTCTGCATGCCTTCTCAGGTTGTGACAATGTGAGTGCTCTGCATGGGGTGGGGAAAGCAAAGGCATACAAGAAACTAAATTCTAAAGTTGAATATGTCAATCTATTTAGAGAATTAGGCACTAGCTTCGCCCCATCACCAGAACTCCTTCAGGCAGTGGAAGCATTTACATGTGATCTATATGATCAAACGGACTGCCAGGACGTTAACATTGCAAGGGCTGGAACTGGAAAATGCTCTGAGAGACAACTACCTCCAAACAAAGACTCCTTGTACCAACACATCAAGCGGGCAAACTTTCAGGCAGCAATACACAGGAGGAGCCTTGAGTGTAGGCCAGACATTCCTCCTCCCATAAGTCATGGCTGGAAGATGGCAAGAGATTTGTATGAGGTGGAATGGATGACACTCCCCCCAGCACCAGAGGCGATACTGGAGCTTGTGCATTGCGCCTGTAAAAAAACCAACTGTGTTAAGGGCAGATGCACATGTAAACTGCATGAGCTGCCATGTAAAAACCTGTGTCAATGCACAAATTGTAATAATGAGCCTTTTGAAGAAGACTAGGCCCATATGGCTTCATCCTTTGAGTAGGTAGTGGTGTGTGATGACTCCTGTAGGGGGGAAAAAAAATGATGTAGCTTTCTATATAATGTATGTGACTGGGGCATATAAACCCAGAGTACATGAGGTTGACAACGCCACTCTGGGAATTTCACCCATAGAATGAATAAGCCAATACACAAGTTCTTTGAAAAGAAAAGGAGCAGAGACGTGAGTTTCTAGTTTCAAAATAGCACTTTCATTTAAATCCACCATTATTTAACTTATTGGGGAAAGAAGCTGAAAATAGAGGCTATAGGTAAAAATATGGTTCTTTATTACAAAATAGACTCTAAAATGTTAAGATCTCTAGGCTGAGCTCATTACCAGTACAGGGGGAAGGGTGCCAGGGAAACCCACAGGAGGATGGGAGTGAAGGGGGGAGGAACAGAAGCCCAGCAATATCACAAGTCTCAGGTTATATAGGCTACACACCCACGTCAATTTATAAAATAAAGATGTACAAAACAGAGTAAAATAGCTCCCTCACATTACGGGCCTTCACATAATCCATATACACATACAGTGCGACAGGGTAGAGCCAACTGAGTCTGCCTTATAGACAGAAAATAATCCAAATCAACTATCACAAATGAATAGAAGCAAAAAAGAAAACTAAAAAGGTATGAAAACTAAATTAACTACAGGACAAAAACAGCAGTGGCAACAGAGCTCTGCCTAATAGGACAAAACAAACACAATATTAACACATAGGTCTTCACTTGAATAAGAAAACACTACTAGGCAGCTGAACAATGGTTACCTTTGCTCAAGTACAATGGAACTAGTGCATATGGGACACCAACATCATACTCCTTGTTCCTATGACAGAGTGACATTACCCACAATACGACATTAGGTAAAAACTATGACATGTACATGACTCATGTATGAAACTACAGTTGTAAATAGTAGCATACCTTGGGCAACAGGTTACAGTGACCAAACAATTGCCCCACATGTGATCCAGCACACACACGCAGCACTCATGTGGTGTCGGGGGATGGGGGTGAGTCCTACTGCAAACAACGCCTGTGAAGATGCCAGAGGGAAACTTAACATGCACACAGGTAACAGCTAGAAAGGAGGCAGATAAGATGCATACCTTATTGTGACATGATCTCTCTCAAAC